TATATATATATATATATATATATACCGGTTACAGGTCGCACGTGAAACGTGGGTGAAACGAGAAAAGCGTTCGAATTGGAAAACAAAAAAAAAAAAAAAAAAGAGTGTGCGGGGGGCGAGAGAGAGGAAATCGCGATGCACCGAAGTAAATTGACTTCATTCAATCATACTGATTTGTTTGCGGCAACGAAACGCGAGTGTCTTTTATTTCCTTTTTTTTATTTTTATTTATTTTTTTTTTATTATTAGTTTCACTTTTTTCATATATAGTTTTTTTATTTTTCTCTTTTTTTGGTTTTTTTTTTTTATATATGTGTATTTTTTTCAAATGTCGGATAGTATTTATAAACGAAGAATTCAACGGAAACGCGGATTTTTCTCCTCAGATGGGAACGTAAAATCCGTGTTTTTATAGCTGGAAAATTTCGTTACGACTCTTCATCAATTTTTCAAATTAAAAATCATGTCGCTTCATGTTCTACATTACGTTTCTCTGTGTTCTTCAAACGTTGAAAAAAAAAATTCAGATTTTTAATAAAAGTCAACAATAGGTGTCCGACGCGCTAGGTCGGCGTGATCACGGATTTAGATTATTGACTCGAAAAATACTATTTACGTCCTTTCAAGTTTCGAAAAAGAAAAAAAGAAAAAAAAATAATATATGAAAGTCTATTTAAAAGCTGCTTTAACGCAGATTTATCCCTTTAATCTTCCCCTCCTCGCCAGGGTTTTTATCTCTCCCAGAAGCGAGATAAAAGGATTATTCTTTTAGCTTTCTTTTGATACTTGATACTTAGAACGCATTTTGAAAAGAGATAAATAGATTCTTTCGAATTTAATAATATATATATATATATATATTCTTGTGAAAAAATTTTCACATCCCGAAATTTCATCTCGAAATTCAATTCAAACTTTCCTCCCTCCCCCCTCTCTCTGAAAATATTTCTCCAGTGTCCTCGTTTTATGCACTCTCCTTCTCCTCCTCCTCCTCCTCCACTTTCTTGAAAACGAAGTTGTCCAACTTTCGTGCGACACTTTCGCCGCGGAAATTGCCTTGTTCCGCGCAAACGAATCGATGATACTTTTAATTGAAACATTTTCGTCCAACGAACGACGATTCGGCTCAATTTTTCCTTCCCCTCGTTAACGTCACACTCGATTCGATCGATAAAAAATCTCTTACGCTCATTGCGTAAAAGAGGAAGGAGAAGAAGAAAAAAAGAGGTGGATCGAAAGGTACGCGGATCGAATACGTAACGTCATGATAACATTATCGGAATGGAAGGGAAATGAATAACACGGGTGAAATTACCGGATGTGTGTTTTAAATTTCCGGCTGGAGATGGCTCGACGGATGTTTTCAGCCATTCTGCCGACGATTGTTCGCGCGAGGGCCTCAAAGGTAGACGTGAAAATTTAATTTTCAACAACGACGTGTTCCGCGACGAGAAGAGAAGAAAAAACGGCTCTCGAGGGGAGAAAAAAGGAAGAAAGGGGGATGGAATTAAGCGCCTTCGGACGCGAACAATTAGGTGGAAAAAGAAAAGGAACGAGATTGGGCGCAGGAAGCCGAGGGGGGTGGACTCGAGAGCGTGAAAAAAATATGCTAAAGGACAGGATGGGGGAGAAAAGGGGTGGAAAAAAGAATCCTCGAGACGGGAAGCATTATATAAATTCAGAGAAGCTTGCTGCGCCCTCGACGCGTCCCATCTCTAATGGGTCCACCCATTATGACAATTGCATCCTCCGGATATATAAAACTAAAAAATAAAAAAAAAAAAAAACAACGAGAAAGGAACAACGAAGCGTGACAACGATATACCCGTAAATTCGAAACCGGAAGAAAGAAGAGCGAAGAAGAAGGCTGTTGAAGAAAATATCGTCTTGCCTCTCTGTTCTAGAGATTCTAATTCGACCTGACGAGAGATTATGGGCGCGTCTCTTTGTGCGCACATACACCTTGCTCTTATCGTATCCAATGATATATCGTTTCTTGTTACGTCGACGTAAGTGGAAAAAATTCTGTTTTCTGTTTTTAATTCACACGTATATCGCACGTATATATAGCTAGTATTTAGTTTTTAATTAAGGGGGGGGGGGTTCGATAATTTCAATGATATTATTTCAGTATTTTACGACGAGTGAAAAGTTAACGTTTCCCAACGTTTGTATTCCGTCGATGTATATTATTTACGTTTATTAATCGTATATCAATTTTATCGCGACGCTAATTACAAATGTATCGAATTTATTTAATTTTAACGTTAACAATTAACGCGATAAACTCGATGCGAATTTTTGAAAATTTCGATTCGGGAAACATCCCTCGTGTGGAATTATACATATCCCGTTTCCAACTTGGTTTGTACACGAGATTATGAACGCTCGCGTATCTCTGTCCGTGAGAAAGAGAGAGAGAGAGGGAGGGAAGGAAAAAAGGCAGCTGGATGTGGCGCCGATTCGTAAATATTCGTACTACGCCCAGTTACACGGTTTGCTTGTTAGACAATATTTGTTTTACCGTCCCGACGCTGTTCCTCTGCTGACGTGTATCCACGGACGTCGCTCGAAAATAACTCTTAAATTTGCTCACGCTTATGTCATCTCGTTCGCTGACATCGCGATTATGATTTCCGAATAAATTGTATTTAAGAAAAAAGATAAAGGAGCCATTCGTTTGAATGGACGAAATGATCGATAACGAAAATTGTTCGTAAAATAATGCGGTATAACTTTTGCAACCAAATCGAACTCGTGCATTAAATTTTCAAGCTTCGAACGGAATGTTTCTCAGAAATTGTTCAAATCTAGAAAAAAGTTTAAACTCGAAAGACACACTTTGCATACGAATCGCGAGAAAAATGTTGTCGCACATGCACACACGGTTAAAATTCCAGCGACTTTGGTATATTTTCCTCGTGAAAAAGTAACGAGGCGAGGTGGAAATATTTTTTTCCACGCCATCGCGGTATCAACGCTCGCGTTTTCGCGTATCTGCGATTCGCGTTCGACGATCGAGACCCGTTTTTCACGCGGCCTCTTCGTTTTTCCTCGATCATCGGTGCCGCACTTGAACCCGTCGATGGCCGTCCAACCGCGCCCGCTCCATAACTTTCCACCGACGTTCGTGCGCGCTGTGTGTTTGGGGGGAGGCAAGGCGGCGCGCGATTAAATCGCGAACTGATATTGGCATACGGGGAAATTTACACCCCCGCGACCTGTTTCTCGAGCCGTGTTTCGCGGATTTTAATTGAACGCGCGCCTTTTTATCCGCCTCGAAAATTTCGTCTCGAGATAACGAATAATTTTGAGTCGCGATATTATCGTGACAGACGATAACAAACAATAAGTGGGAACACGGATTAGAAGTTATTTAATTTAAAATTCATTATTTATGGGGCGTTAAAAACAATTTGTACGATCTGAAGAAAAGAAAAAAGAAAAAGGATAAAGTTTATTATAAATGTTGAGACTACTATTCTTCCAATCTCTCTTAATTTAACGAAAAATTTCTTTTAAATTTTCTTCTCTTCGGTATAAGATAAAAAAGGATTTGGAGGAGAAATGGCCAGCAAAAAAAAAAAAATAATGTATTAAGCAAATCCTTGAGATTTCTTTTTCTGAAAAAATGTTGGGGAGCGAAATTAAATAAGGTAGATTGAATGAAAAGAATTTGAGAGAAAATGTTGCGTTAAAGTAACGTAGGATTTCTTAATGGATTTAGTGAACTCAACGTAAACAAAGTAAAGGAAACGAGGAAGGAAACGTTTGACGGAAACGTGAAACGTGAGTAAGATATTTCGTCGTGCATTTGTATCACGTTAAATTTGCACATATCCTTCCAGGATACAAATCCGTGGAAGATTAGGTTGAAAAGTTCGTAACGTTTAATAGGCTCGTTTTGGTGCCTATACTTTCAGAATGCGACTGGGTTTACAAGGACACCGATTGCCTGGATGGATGCGTGTTGGCCAGCCCCGGATATCCTGGCCTATATCCACCCAACATTCGGTGCCTCTACTCGATTACTTCCGGTCCCCGGATGTCCATCGCGATTAACTTCACCGCTGTGCTTCTGCCCGAGAAGTGAGTACACCTATTAAAAGTACTTTTCATTGTGCCCCTCGTTTCAACCCTTTTCAACATTAACGGGAGAATGAATATTCCTTCTTAACACGATGGAAAGGAAAATTGAATATTCCCTTTTCATCTTCTCGTAATACCTGGTTATAACACAGATTTTATATGAATTTTTAATTAAATTTGTTTTTATCTCGTTCGAAAGAACAAAGACGTTATTATTAACAATTTTAAACAAAAAGATTTGGATTATCTCAATCACTCGGTAATTCTTCAAACTTCGGTTTGTCGACCGAAAAGACTAGTTTCGAAACGATCGTAAATGGCCAAAATATTTGTACCCTACGAGTACCCTACAAACACTCGACGAGAGAAATTCCCATTCACCCCAATTCACACACCGCTTAAGTGTGTGTAACCACTACTTCAAACCTTGAAAAAAAAAAAATAAAAATAAAAATAAATAAACCAAACTCTCGAGCGAAGTTATTCACTTCAACAAAAAAAAAAAAAGAAAAAAGAAAAAAAATTGTATCGTCACCAAGCGTTGGAACACACATGTGGAACATCGTGTTTCGCTAGGCGGCTGTAATTCGAATGCGAATAGGATTTCGTGCAGCTAGGATTCGTTCTGGCGTTCGACACGTCCGCAAATATTTAAATAAGAATTTCTCTCGTTCGTTTCGCGAAAGATACGGCTGGAAGCGTCTTGCGTCGAGAGGCGGCTGCCCTCCTCGCGTGCAAACTGCACGCCATTTAATGTCGCGCGACGACGAAACCAATTTCGAACGTCGAGCACAATCCGCGAATGAAAGAGGAAAAACATGTTGCGTAGTAATCGCGAGTCGATACGCGTCTTTCCACGAGGGTTGCTGCTCACCGGTAGACACGGCTTGCCATTGCCTGAATCATCCCCTCGAGCGAAAAGAAACGCGCGAGAACTCGTGTTGTGTTATATATCGAGTTATCTTCCCCAACCCCTGCAGCGCCTTTCTCGCCTTCTTCCCCTCGAACGATTTCGAGCTCTCCTTTACTTTGCGGACAAGCTTTCGAGATCGAGGGTAGTTTTCCCTTTGTACCCAGCCCTGCGCGCTGTTTGTTTAGGTTATTTCACGTGATGTGGAATTTTTCCTCCTTTGTTTCGTTGCGTTTAATTTGCTTTAGAATGAAGGGAAATAAATATAAATAAAGAAGGGAGGGAAAAAGGGAAGGATTTATTAAAATTCGGGGGGGCTTGTAAAGTGATAATTAAAATTAAGGAGATATTTATTGCCGCGCATCCTTGTTGTATGCTTTTAATGTAAACTGCAATGCGTAAGAAAGTTAAGATAACGAGTTCCATAAATAAGAAAATTATTATCGAAAATATTCCCTAATTTTTTCCTCGATTCGATCCAAAAAAAAAAAAAAAGAAACCGGAACAAATTTCCCCGAGATTAGATTGCTTCCCTGCTACGCCGTGTCTCTAATGGCACTATGGAACCCGACAAGGCGCGTTGCTTTCTAATTACGAAACATCGAAGGAGTGTGCACACACTCTCTCATGCATCTTCTGTTCGAAGCTGCTCGCGTGCGTACTCTTAACTAGTTTCGTATTTCATTACACCGTGAATATGTATAAAGCATCGTTTCTCGGTTCTCGTTACCGCTTGTTTTCGAACTTCGACAATTTACCGCGAACTGTAACTTCACTCCATTATACCCCTCGACCCCGTATATACATAGGAGCAAATATATATATGGTAATTCGAATAGAAGAGCGAATCTTGAGGATTGACTGGCTGCAACTTACTGAACGGAGACTATCAAATCACGGATCGTACGTCATTCTCCGGACGTAGCCTCGTGTCTAGCCTCGTTAATGGTATGCGCGTTGCTTCTTAATCTGGATCAATGATAGAGAGAGGATTACAGTCACAGTGGATCGATCGAAATTAATGGAGATCGTTCCTCGAAACTATTAATCCTACGGTCGCTCACGGAAATTTAATATTTAGACACGTATTATTAACGACGATTCGTGTACGACTTTGTGCATGATCGATATTGGAGTGTCTGTCGTTTAGTTGATCGATTAGATTGCGTTTCGGATCTTCGATAAAATTGTTGTCGTAAGTCTTCGTATCAGATTCATAGCAACCTGTTCACAAATATTTTATATAAAATATATCTCGATCCGTGCCGCCTCGATGTCATCCTTTTGTCAACCTTCCATTTCCTAAAATTCTTTCAATTCTTAAAATTTGTTCCCAAGATCGAAGACGAATCGTATGTAATTTAATTCGTTCAAGGCCTTGGAAGGAGTGTACGTTTGAACGTGAAACTCGACAAAGGATGGCGCGTAATTTCAACGTGGGGGAGGAGGTGTGAGTAGAGGAGGAGTGGGGAATAATCACGACAGAGGAAAGCAAGCAGGGAGCGCTTTTTCCGCGTTCTTCATTGCCGCCGACTAGTTTTTTACCGCGCAGGGTGTACGAAAGCACTTCCATACGAGAGGGGCAGACGTCAAAAGTACACCGAGCACTTCCTCCCTTCTTTCGAGCCCCTTCTTTCTTCCTCTACCGTGGCCCCCTTTCACTTTCTCCATCCAGTCGGCCCGTTCTTTGCCGGTGGCGGGCAAACGTATTCAAAACCGGGCTGCAATCTGTCCGAACATTCTCGCGACAATTTTCAACCGGATGAAGCCCGGTGCTTTAACCGAGATATTCCTCTCCGACGAATGTTGCGTAAGCGTTAACTTTCGCTTTCCTTTTTTTCCTTTTTCTTTTTTAATTCCTTTGATCCAAAATCTCCACTCGTACTTTAAGCTTTTAATCGGCAGACATTGGATTGGAGAAATGCTATTTAATTTCGTTCAAAAATATTGATGAAAATATACGAGGGAATTGGATGAATTCGTTTGAACATGAATAAGAAATTGCTATATATAGGAATTGTAAAATTTCTTTCTTTTAAATATTAATTTTTAATCGATCGATTTATACGCTACGATTCGCTTAGATATTTCGTTAACTTCCATTTTGAAAATTTCTGAATATTTACCATTATTTCGAAGAATTACTCGGGAATTCGATTCGCGACGAAAGCTAAATATTTTAAAAGACAAATTGTCAAAGCTTTGTACACTATCCATAGTAATCGATTCCGGCAGACGCGCGTTTTCGAATAATTGAAATTTATTGACATCGGAATTGATTCCCCACGATTGTGAAAGATCAAAGCGCCACGTTGCCAATTCACCAAGGATATTTGAGTAGGAACAGGATGTGTCTGATCGTTCGGGGTGTGAAACGCACGGCTAAATCGGATTTTGACTTCACAAGTAAGAGAGGATAACCCGCGAAATCGTTCTGCTTGGAACTTTCGCCTAAGGAATATCATTCGAAAAGTCGACGAAGAACGTCTTCCCTCGTTTCGTCTATATTTTGAAATCTTCCTCTTCCTCTAATCGTTATTTCAATCCGCTCTTGCAGATTTATTCGTTGAACACTTTGCAAAGAGTAGTTTAAAGAAGAAGAAGAAGAAGAGAGAAAACACTCGTCGATACGTAACCCATCCCCAAATATATATTTATGAGAGATACGTTCCCTTCGTAATAATAAATTTTCATAGAATATGCAATCCATTTTAATTCTCCTCCCCGCAAAGACAAACAACGACGTGTGCGTCAGAAAAATCCCCAAGAGGACGAAGCTTATTTCCCTCTGTGCAACGTGATCGAAATTCCGAACGGTCTCGCGCTCCTTCCCTCCATTCCCTCGAGTGGAACATCCGCGGGAAAAATAATAATAATTTCCCCTCGTGCCGACGATTTTCCTCGATCGCTCGAAAATTGCGCGAAAAACTCTCTCGACCAACGAAAAGTTTTTCCTCGATTGTCTTCAACTTTTCTCGCAATAACCGGACAACTTTTTTTTCTTGTGGCATGCTAATTGAAACGAAGGGTGGGGAGAAAAAAGAATTCGAGAAAAGATGTGAAACGAACGAACGAACGAATGACTGCGTCAGTTTCGAACGACGATTAATCGTATACGTTGGATGGAAATTTCTAACAACTGGAAACTGATTTCGCAGGCAATATCGCCGTTTTTTTTTTTTTTTTCTTTCTTTTATCCTCGCGAGACTATCGATTCCTGCAGGAAATGGAAATCGAGATGCACGAAAGGGAGGAAGATGCATTTTTAAAAATCATGATTATTATCGAAAATTATTTGCCCAATCGAGGTTGGTTTCGTTAAAATTTCCCTGGAAACGGATATTTATTTACGACATTACATATAATTTCAACGAGAGAGATAAACGTTAGCTCGAAATGATCGCGGCCGAGACTCGTTATCGCGAGGAGTGATAACTGCGAGATTAAGCGGCGATAAAAGAGAGAGAGAGAGAGAAAAGAATTAAATATGTGGTCGATTAATTACGAAAGTTCTGCAAGCTCACAGGTTGTCTATTAACATTAACCGGCTCGAAAACGGATATATATACGAGTTACGTTAATTATCCACGGAGACCGTTTACCTCGTCCAGAATCCTGTTTGAACCGAAATACGCGCCACACGCTTATGGAAATTAACGAGCGTCGTTGATCGACCTTCTTCCGTGAAAAATCGTTTCACGGATTATTTCACCTTTCTCCTTTCACTCTTACTCGATACGACTCGAAAATCGTCATCGTTTAAGAGTGCTACAATTTTCAAACTTTTGGAACAGCTAACTTTCATCAAAAAGATAAAGAAACGAAAGATTCTCTGTGCCAATTTCAATTCAAGTTAAATTCGCAGTTTCGATCGAATTAATTTCTCTTCAGAAGCAGAAACAGGATCCTCGGCTCGAGGGAGGACAATATGTTCCACGCGTTGTAACCATTTCGATCCTCCCTCCGTTTCGGTATGTAAACCGGCATCCGGATAACGGGCGGGTAACTTGCTCGAACATCTCATAGGGATCAGCCTTAAAGGATTCAAGGTGGCCGTCTCGGCCTCGTTCCGATTCATTATTCACCGCCT